TTTCGCCCTTCACATCAACATAGGGCCTTCGGTGGCGCAATCAAATGCGAGGAGGGGTCATGACGCCTAGCGCTGAGTGGCGTCCGAGGGGAAAACCAATATTCTGTCTTCGTCTGACTAGCTGCAACTTAATTTTATGAAATTCGTGTGGTATTGAAAGTTCTCAAGTTCAGTCAGTTATTGACGGTTTTAAATGCGTTAGTTACCATATTTGGAGAATTTGTTGTCGTTTGATATTAGATTTGATTTAAAACACACATTTGATGAGTTTCCTTTTGGAATGTGCCTTTTTATCTCTCACGGTGTATGCTTCTTTGCGGCCTCGCGGCAGCCAGTTTGCAAGCATTGTGATGCCAAACGATTCACAATCCAATCATTCCTCAAATGGAATGTACACATAACAGAATTAAACCCTAAATTAAGTTCATTATGTTACACATACAAAATTCTGTCAGCTTCGTGCAGCCGGTTCCGAGTCCCGACGGTGGCAGGATTTTTGACACTAGCTTGTCAGATAGGTCGAGTTCAGCCGCTGACTGGAAGAGAATTCTAGCGACCAGCTGCTCGGATCTGTAGTTTTGCGTGGTTTCTTTTATCAACACCCGGCGAATGTCGGAGCGGTACCCTAATAAACGGGCCACTGACCGCTCGCGAACTTTTCTTCCTATTCGTTGCCCTTTCCTCGCCTCTTACCAATTCTTCCACTCGTATGCACTACACTATCACACTTGCCGGGAGTATAGAGCTTGTCCCGACTGAGGCGGTACCACGCTGGTGTGAGATAAGTGGTTGAGGAAAATCTCCGGCGTAGCTCGGCGCCAGATCTTGCCATCCACAGGGGAAAGATCACAGTTACCTCTCGCGATCAAACATACACTACACTTATGGGACAAACGACCTTATCTGTTGACGCGCCCGGAATCTATAATCAATAAGCGCAGGGTCAAAATGGACACAAATTGTCAATACTGAAACAATGTAAAATGGCGACTTAAACGAAGCAATTTTGCGAATAAGTATACGCAAAGTGAAACAGTTTAATGTGGAATTTAATGGCCCAATAACTTTCAATGAAAAGATCAAGGAAAACCCATAAAAATACGTCTTGAAATATGAACTTCAATGATTCAATTACAGCTAAATTGTAATTTCTCTGACCTCTTTCAAATTTCCCTCTCTCGGGTTCCAGTGACGTCATGTGGTCCATGGGTTGGCTGCACTGATAGGACAGGCCCTGTGTTATACTCCTGTCTCGTATCATGGGTTATACGACAGCACTGCGGTTAAAATATCAGATGACGCCCTTGACGGCAGTATCTTCAGACTCTCACCACCTAAGCTACCACGTCGCGAACAAGAAACTTCTCAAGTGACCAAATTCTTGGGAGTGCGCAACTCGTCTTTCCCGGTCCCGTCCACACAGCTGGAAGTCACAATGTTCGACGACGCCTTCGTGACATTGCAGAATATGATCCAGGCGCCACGGAATCTTGCAGTCAACTACAGTCGACGTGTTGTCAAACGTCCAGAGATAAGGGCTATGATCACGTGACAACAGGCAGGTGAGAGACCTTCCCATGACGATCGACATTCCCTCCACACATATTGTAATATGAATCCTTCTCGGATATACTTCAATTTTATATATTTTTTTATCATTACTGTAATTTGCAGAAAATGTTACACGAAAAATAGGGATTATCATCCTGTTGCCGTTACGGCAATCCACCTTCGTCAATAATAATAATAATAATAATAATAATAATAATAATAATAATAATAATAAAGTTACGAATGAGCAGATCCTACTTGCAAATTATCTGCTGAACTGCACAAAACAATTTGATTTTGAAATTCTGATTGGGCAAATAATAAAATTTAAAAAAATAAAATGCAATCGAATATTTTGTAAATATGTCCTTGTGGGCATTACTTCCTAATAGTGGTTTTCTGATGGGAAGCATCTCAAGTATAGACAAACAATATTGTTATCACAAATTAAACTATCCACATTTCAAACTTTCCAAGGAAACAGCTTACAATAAAAGTCCTCCAACAACTACGTACATCAGCCAAAGCAACTTCCCATACATCAATTACCTTGTTGTTATCTCATATCTAAACACCAACGGATCCCATTACCATTTATAGAGCTTTCAACCTTCAGTGAAGTAGAGCGATAATTTTACTTTTTCAAACCTTTCTTGGTACTATTTGGTTGTTACCTGTCCACCTCTGTGTTTTTGCCATCGCCAAGAAACAAATGATATTTGAAATTTTAGGAAATGACATATGTGTGATAACTACTGAAGAACATTTTGAACAATGATTATAATAAAACAACAAAAATTACAGATATGTAATGAAAAGGAAAGCAATATACTTACAAGACATCCTTCTGTCAACATCACACACTCGCAGAAGATCAATGCTGGGCACAGTTTTTGGGAACATTAGAAATGTCACCATGATTATTAAAGTGAAGTGTGTTGTTTTTGTTCTAGTAATTTCTTAGAAAAGGCTTAATTACTGACATTAATATACGTTTTTGCTTCAAATGAAAAGTTTAAGGAAACTCAAACTCTTACTATTTTAAATGCACAACTCAAAAACACTATTAGATGATAAAATTGTATATTCTATGAAAAAATTGAAGTCATTGACATGATACTGCAAAGCTTTAAGTAAAATTGGAAGAAATAATTACAGTAAATGCAATCAATTAAATCTCAATGACTAAAGTAGCATTTGAGGGATTAAACACAAAAAAGTGAAGTGAAAAATATTTTCACTTTTACTTATATTTTCACAAGAGGTGCAAGCAAGAAAATAATTATAGTAATGAATTGTTTCTTGGGATGGCATAACTTTATATTCTTCATAGGTCTAAGTACAGTTCACAAGCATGTGATGTCCTAGTTATGGTCAGTGCTTTTCTCTACTGGTCAGGCACAGTCTTCTCAGACTTCCAATTGAGGTAAACATGATTCCAACCAGAGCAGGATGTAACCAGATGATGGGTAATGTTTGAAATGCTGATATGCATTGCAGAAGTTTAACATGATCAAATGTGTAACATGTGCAAGAAGTGACAAACATTGGCATTATTTCCTTCCAGATTTTTAACAAATTGTTTCACACTTGATTGAAACAAGGATGAGAAGTTGGATTGGTGAGAAGAGAAGGTGAAAAAATCAAAAACGGCTAGAGAATTAATTGCGGGTGTTGTTCTGAGTGGAGTTTGGTATCGCACTTATGTTTTATTTCAAATATTGCCATCCTAACTTCATTCATTATTAATCTTCAATTATTTTTTTCTTATTTCGTGCAATTTACATAGTACACATTCATTATACTTTAATTTATTTATGGATTCTGTTGATGTTTGATCAGCTGTTACAGTGTTATCCAATTGGGATCTTAAATGTCACTACTGTAGGTGTCAACCAAGCTCCTAATTGGATGACACCATAACAGCTAATTTATGTTGATTGACTTCCATGTTTAAATCAAAGTATATTAAACAAAAAAAGTCCAATTGTGCAGTGGAAGAATTATCATCCCTGATTAGCAACAGTTAGCCTGATTAGCAACAGTTTACTTGGCCTAAAATTAGGTACTGCTGCATAGGGAGTTACTTTATAATTATTCTCATCACCAATTTGATTTTTTGCATAATTTATTTATTTATTTTGCTACGAAAATGCATTATCATTGCAGGAAAAAAAACAATAAATCTCCTCTACATATAATACACAAAGAAAAGATTATGGATTATTCCCTTTTATAAGAAACCATTACAACCCTGTAAGTGCATTACTGCTGGATAGGAAATTACACCACAAGAGTGTGTCAAAAAAGAAAATCATAGAAGATTGCATATTATGGAGTATTGGGATTACCCAGTGTACATGCAACCCTCACCACATATTACACCACAACACATTTTACAATCATTAGTAACTCGGAAAAAATAAGCCCTAGAGCTTAAAAACCAGCTATGTGTAGTCCTGTAATGGACACAAGTTCTTTTCTATAACGTAATATACAAAATGAGACCTTTTTAGATGTTTCATTACATATTTTAAAGGCTCTGTAGCATGGATTGCCAAACAGCTGAAAGTTGTTGACCAATGTGAACTATTTTCACTTTTACAACAATGATTTAATAAGATTGGTATTTTAGAGATTGCAATTTTTGTGAAATATCTTAGGAGCCCTTTATTGAATTTGGGTTTTCACTCTTCTTGGTACTCTAGCTACTCACAACTTCCTTTTTTATCTGACAGGGGTGGTACTATATGCCACAAAGGTTATGGCACTATATGCCGCCATAACATTTTAAAAAGTATTTCATAATAATACAACACTTAATGTAGACTTTTGAATTTCCAGACTAACAAGTGCAGGAATACAATGCACTGAACATGTGAGGAAACGTAGGGAATTATATGGGCAACAAGCAGAGGTACAAGTGGGGATTCATGCTGGAAACATGTGGTGAACATGCAAGGGGAATATACCTGGAGGCCTGTACTCTCTATCAAGATTATGAGAAATGGGCCGAAACTAGAAATAAAAAAGTTCCCTTGAGGCTGTTACATGCCTGTCATGATGGGACTACTATGTTTCCATGTACAGTAGTGGTTTTGGCCTTAAGTTGAGATCAAGTATGAAGCTATTTTCACTTTTGAAACAATGATATTCAAAGCGCAGAATGTTTTCAGGGGTCCAGATAAATACAACATTACATTTATATTTATCTATTTAAGTACACAGATTGATTAAGATACAATCGAAGTCCATCCAATGCATTTGCATTAGGAAAACAAATTCCTGCATTGTGCCCATGTAAATCGGTCAATCTGGCTTATTTACTCCATACTTCAATGTAAGGTTGAGACGCTCTCCTGCTTCAATTACTGACTAACTATTTTCATAGCAAATGACTGAAGACATTTTTCTCCCATTACAACTAAGAAGATAAAAAAAATTCTCACCATGTCATAATGGGTCAATTGGGTCTTCATTTCAGTCTGGCTCTGAAGGCAGTCACTGCCAACCTGAAATTGGGAATGCAATGTTAATTAACATCACAATTATCTTTAACATTATCATTTTTTCATAAATTTTGAATTGCTCACTTTGCACAAACATTCATTCCAATTTAATATCAAAATACAACCACAACACCCATACAACCACAACCTAATACATACAACACAAAGAAAATGTAGAAAACTGTTTTGTACCTTTGGAGGATTGATCAAGCGACGGAAAAAATAGATTTCATCTTCAGTAACAGCATTACTATGGTTATATTTCCTGAGTCCTTCTCGTGTTAATTTCTTAACTTGACGTCGCGCTTCATCGTACAGAGATTCACAGACATACACGTCATGTTCTGGAATTTCTGTAGGGCGACCTGAAAATAGTTCCAAACATATATACATTTTGAATAATATTATGGTCAAATATTTCATGGAAGAGGTAAGGGAAGGGAATGGAATGGAATGGAAGAAAAGTGTGGAATTGTACATTCAAATAGAACATAAGAGTATAAACTATCCATTAATACTGGTTTTGATATTTTAATACCTCCTCTACAAAGAGTTAAAAACAAGGAAGTGCATGAGGAATTCTTTACCAAATCAGGAGCTAATAATGCATTTTGGATTTTTGGGAGCTGGTGTTTAGCTCAGAACTTGAACGTGAAAATGTTTAGGGGGAAAATAGCAAGTGTTAAATTAAAAGTTTAAAAAAAGCATGACACAATGGTTGTCGTGGTAATCTATTACGGTAGTTTGAATTGTGTGCAAGTGACATTAAAATTAAAATTATCCCTCTTTGGTACATAATTTACTTCATTTTTTATTGCTTATTAATTCAGTAAATTGCCCCCTTGGAGCAGCTGGGTACTTCACCCCATTTTTTAACTATGCAACCCTTCAAAATGTGACAATAACTCACTCCAGGTGGTGAGATGAACTATACTCATTTGAGGTGAGGTAAGATCATAAAAAATATAATAAATATATTCACCTAGAAAACTGAATGAAAAGCAGTGTTGATATCATGTGCACAAGATAAGGAATACATAAATCAATTAAGACTTAATTCTTAGTTAGTTTTCTAATCTCTTTATTCTAGGCTAGTTGCCAGCATTGCTTCCAAGCACTGCTGCTAGCTATCGGCACCAAAAAGAAATAGTTCCCCTTTTCTCATTTTGTTGTTCCCTTAACAGTACAATTAAAATATGTCTTTAAGAATGAGTAATATAATGAATTGAATTGATGCCTTATTTTAGGTGGCGAGACTCAGGCCATGAGGCCTGCTCTTCCGTCTGACCACATAAATGCTTGAGTATCCGCATGACCGCTTGAGTATCCCCATGACCCCAAGAGCTATGCCGGCGGTAGCGTAGCTACTAGTAGGGCCTCCCTTGCCGGACAGGTCGAAGGATAGGGATCTGACTAAGAAGTACTCCAGAAGAGGACCCCAACGGCGACTTCAAGAAAGAAGAGGCAGAAGAGAAACTCTAGATGGGGGGAGAGACCTCGAAGCCATGAAGATGGCAATCCCTCCAGGACAAGGGAAGTCCGAAATAACCTTCCCCCCTCCTCGGGACAGAGGTTGTGCAGAGAGGGCTAGTAACCCACCCACGTAAAAAAGCAGTGTCCCATATAATGGCCTCGGAATGAAAACTATGACGACTAAAGCAATGAAAATGGAGGTACGTAAACAGATATCGGAATATTTTAAAACAACTGCCTGGAATGTAAGAGGTATATCAGGGAAAGAAAATGAACTGACAAAAATTTTTGAAAAGATCAATATAAACCTATCTGTAGTAACAGAAACAAAAAAAGAAATTAAAAGGATCAAAATATGTAGAAAAGTATGCCATGTTTTATAGTGAAGTAGATCAGCAAGAGAGGGCTGCAAAAGGTGTAGCCATATTTGTAGACAGAAAGTGGGAATCAAGAATTAAGGAGGTTCAATACGTAAATGACCAGATAATTTTGATAAATATAAAACACGAAAGAGAACAACTTGTCGTTATTGGTGTGTATGCCCCGGAGGAAGGAAAGAGGAAAGAAACAGAGGAATTCTACAGAACCATGCAGGAACTGTTGGAAAAATGCAATTCAAGATATGAAGTCGTCCTAGTAGGTGATCTAAATGCAAGAGTGGGAAATGAGAGTATACCAAAGACAGTAGGAAAGTGGGGAGAAAGTGTAAAAAATTACAATGGAGAAAATTTGAGGGAATTCACAGCCTTCAATGAACTGTATATTGCAAATACATTTAAAAAGAAAAAAGACATTCATAAATATGCATGGTCAGCACGAGGTAGTAGATCCATTATTGATTATATAACTGGAAATCAAAGAATATCAAAATTAATAGAAGATAATTTACTTAATAGAAGTTAAAAGAAGCTGCGACATAAATTCTGATCACTTTCTAGCAATATCCCGTATAAAATTATTAAAAAGA